GATGACTAAGGATACTGAACATTTCTTTAGGTGCTTCTTGGCCATTCGAGTTTCCTCAGTTGAAAATTCTTTGTTAAGCTCTATACCCCATTTTTAATAGGGTTATTTGGTTGTTTGGAGTCTAAGTGGGGGTGCTTCAGTCCTTCTTAGAAGGAGCAACAAAATACTCAAGGGAGCAAATATGGAGACAAAGTGAGGGACAGAAACTGAAGGAGGGGCCGTCTGAAGGCCATTCCACCTGAGTATCCATCCCATATGCAGTCACCAAAGGTAGATGCTGATGTGGAAGTCAGGAAGTGCATGCTGATAAGAGCCTGATACAGATGTCTCCTCAGAGGTCTTCAAGAGTCTGACATATTCAGAGGCAAATGCTCACAGCTAGCCAATGAACTGATAATGGGGTCCCCAATGGAGGAGTTAGAGTGAAGACTGAAGGAGCTGAAAGGGTTTGCGGCACCATGAGGAGAGCAACAATACCAACCAACCAGAGCTCCCAGAGTCTAAACCACCAGTCTGGGAGCACTTAGGGAGGGATCCATGGCTCCAGCTGTATATGTAAGGGAGGATGTCCCAATCCGGCATAGGTGGGAGAAGAGATCCTTGGTCTCATGAAGGCTGGATGCCCCAGGGGGTGGGAATTTGAGGGTGATGAGGTGGGAGTGTGTGTGGGGGGGTAGGTTGGGGTACATCTGCAGAGAAGCAGGAGGAGGGGTGAGGGGATGGGGGTTCTTGGGTGGTTGGGGGATGGAGTAAGGGGACAACATATGAAATGTAAATAAAACATCCAATTAAAAAAAAAAAAAAGAATACTGAGCTTAGATATAACCTCTCTCCTCTCTGCCACCTACTGACACAATGGAACACACAGCCATAGCTGCAAGCTTCTAGGGACAACTAAATGGAATTAAAAACAAAACAAAACAAAACATGGTTTTATTTATTTACATTCCAAATGTTGCCTCCTTTCCCAGCCCCCCTCACCCGATCCTCCCAACCCCTTTAAATTTACTTTGTAGCAGCTCTTTGCTTGGCTCTTTTCAGCATAAAATGTTTTATGTATTTCTTATGTCAGTGAAGGAGTTGTAATGTAAGACATTTTTGTAAACCTGGTTTAGAGGACACTCAGCTTGCCTTTTAAAGAAAAAGTCTCCCCTCAGTAATAAACAGTGTAGACTAAGAACATTTCTTTTTCCTTTTAGCCCAGTCTGAGCTTGTGACACCAAATCAAAAGAGACATTTCAGTTTATTTTAGTCTCTCGTATTTCCTAATTTACCTTTTGTATCTTGGTTTTGGCTGGAGTTTCTTTTTAAGCCTTGATCAAAAAGACAACCAACAGATGGGTAGCTTTACATGATATTTTGTGTGAAGTTGAGTTATAAGTAAAAGTTAGTTGAAACATTAGAATTATGAGAGATTTCAGTGGTGATAAGGGATCTGTGAAGCTCCAGGTAGCTTAACTAATAAAGTACTCGCCATGCAAGCATGAAGACCTGCATTGGGATCTCCAGCCCCCACACATACAAATTAGAATTCAGGATTACATCCCTGTAATCCTGTCATTGGTAAGGTGGAGACAGGTATATCAATGGCACTCACTGGCCAGTCTCTTTAGGTGAGCCCTAGGTTCAGTGGGAGATCTTGTCTCAAAAAATAAAGTAGAGGGTGTTTGAGGAAGGCATCCAGTATCCACATGCACATGCATAGCATGCATGCATACACACAGGTCATATGCTCAAATAAGGGAGTCGTGGATAAAGTCACTCATAGGAATAGTATAAGCTTTATTAATAACTGTGGACAGATTTTACAGGGAAGGAATCTTTCCTGTTTAATCTTGGAAGAATCATTTATTTTCCATGGAAGCAAATGGGAGCTCTTCATACTCTACTCATCTGGTTTCAGGTCTAAAGATTGTCATTTTGTTGTAATGATAAATCTCCTTGACAGTTACTTATCAACATCTTGTTGGTGAGAATAGAAGTATAGCTGCTAATTTATGTATAGATTTGAACCTATTTTTTATTTTATGTCTTAACTTTTTCAAAAAGGGACTTTATATAGATCTTTGAAAGTGTGTGTTTTTGATCTCTTAGAATTTACTCAAGTTCTATTGAGCAGTTCTGACTTAACCTATTTCATAAGCCTAGTCTTTCCTGGAGAGATTTATAGCAGTAAAAGGCAAACATAGACTCTTAGTATTTCTTATTCCTGTCAATTGCCTCCTCTTCCATTTTTTGAGTCACTGTATGTGAGAGACTGTGTAAAGACATTATACATACATTATTTTAAACTGACCAACAGACTTGTCACATGGATTTTATCATTTCATATCTAACAGATTCATTCAGTTTTCAGCTACTATACTGGTCTCAGGTAGAAAAGAATAAAACTCAGTCTGAATTTTCATCAAGAAGAATAAGGAATTATGAAGATAATTATAAAGATAAAAGAACATTTTGTGACTCAATATAGTGTGAAAAAGAAGTTAAGTTATAACTTGTATATATTTTTCCTAAAAGGGTGGGGGATAAAAACCTTACACCACCACCACCACAACAATAAAAACAAGAATCAATAAACACTGCTCATTCATAACTCTGAACATTAGTGGCCTAAGTTCCCCAGTAAGAAGACACAGACTGATAGAATGGATTTGAAACCTAGGAACTATCCTTCAGGTATATTCAAGAATCATGCCTTAATATAGATAGCACCTCAGGATAATAGGATGGAAAAAGGTATTCCAAGCAAATAGACCCAAGAATCTAGCTGGTGTAGCCATTTAATATCTGACAAAATAGACTTCAGATCAAAACTACTTAAAAGAGATAGGAAAGGTCATTACATACTCATCAAAGGAAAAATCTACCAAGAGGGCATTGCAGTTCTTAACATCTGTGCACCAAACACAAGGGCATCCATGTTTATAAAAGAAACACTACACAGTTAAATCACATATTGACCCTCACACAGTGATTGTGGGTTGTAACTTTAATTTTTTTCAAAATCTCCTTTTAATAATGGTTCTTAAATATTTTAACCTCCCTTGTAGCCCACTATCCACCAGAGGTAGTGGAAAAGAAAGGATGAGGGGTGAAGTGAACCTGTTTAGAAAAGTTCTTTGTAGTGACTCCCATCTGTGTTGTCTGGAAACCAGCAGTTCACAGGTTAGCAGGTAGCAGCAGCTTGATCCACTCACAAACAACTCACTGATACAACAGCAGTCCAGTTTGGTAGAGTCGGGTTAGTAAACACCAGTCAGCAGCAGTGCTAGCAGCTAGCTACTAGCAGAGACAGCCAGGCCTCAGCTAAGGACGAGTCAGCAGGGCCAACAGGAATGCCAGGAAAAGTTTTCAGCTGTGCCTCTCACAGTGAAATGAAGATCAGTGAAGACTCAAGACCAACAAGCATTGCACAGCTAGCTCTATAAGCAAGCCAAACTCAGCTTCTGTCACTTTGTCAAGTCCTATTTATACCCTTCAAATATCATGTGTCTTCCACATATCTTGCCTCAGCATGTGCATCTGTCTCAGCTGACATCACTCTGCTAATCAGCCAGAGTCCACAGAAGTGGCAAGAAACTGCAGCACACCACGAAAAGTTTTTTGGTATGTTTCTCTCTATGGAGTCCTAGCAAATGGAGCTCAACTATGCATTGTAAGACGGACCAATACATGCATGTTGTTAGCAAAGAATCCCTCATCATGTGTCCTTTCATGTGCTTGCTTTAGCAGAATATCCTTTCTCCTGTGTCTGCTTTAGTGAAATGTTCCATCACAAGTCTGCTTTAGCCTTTCACTTATGTCTACTTCAGGAAAACACTCCTTCACATGTTTTCTCTAGCAAAACACCATCCAACACAACTGACTTTCCAAAGAACCTTTAAGTTTCCACTTTAGTGGGTGACTTCAGTACCCCATTCTTACCAATAGACATGCTATTCAGACAAAACTTAAACAGAGAAATGCTGGCACCTAACTGATGTTATAAAGCAAATGAACCTAACAGATATTTATGGAACATTTCACCCAAACACAAAAAAATGTGCCTTCTTTTCAGCAATTCATGGAACTTCCTCCAAAATTGACCACATCCTTGAACACCAAGCAAGTCTCAATAGATAGAAGAAAATTGAAATAATACCCTGTATCCTATCTGACCACAATGAGTTAAAGCTGAATATCAACAGCATCAGAAATACAGAAAGCATATAAACACATGGAAACTGAACAATTCATTACTAAATGAAAAATGTGTCAAGATAGAGAGAAATTACTCTCTAGAATTGAATAAAAATTAATATACAACATTCCCAAACTAATGGGCCACAATGAAAGCTCGTCTAAGAGGAAAGTTCATAGCAGTTGGTGCCTATATAAAAAATTGGAGAGATCTCATGCTAGTAACTTATCAGCACACTTGATAGCTCTAGAACAAAAAGAAGGAGTCACACCCAAAAGACTAGATGGCAAGAAATTATTTCAGACTCAGAGTTGAAATCAATAAAATAGAAACACACACATGTATACACACAACAATAATATGAAGAATCAGTGAAACAAAGAGTTGATTCTTTGAGAAAATCAGTAAGATTGTCAGATCCTTAGCCAAATTAACTAAAAGGTAGAAAGAGAAGATGTGCCATGTCATTGCTACAGCACATCTTGCAAGCAGGACAGACTGTGGGTTGAAAATTTTGGGGGTCTCTGCCTGAGTTGGGCCCTGGGTCACAGTGACAAGTAGAAGAGGGTTGGTTGGGTTAGAGTGGGGGGCTCATCAAGAGAATGTAGGAGGTCTGTGATTGGGCTGCCTACCTGGACTTTGGTGGCTGGTGTGGCTTTTGGTGGAGAGTATACGTGTAGGGTCTTTGCCCCAGTTGGAGGCTGGACTTTGTTTCTCTCTCTATTTTTTTTTTTTTGAAAGTTGAAACCAATTGTTCTAACACCATTTTCTGAAAACATCTTTTTCCTATTGTGTTGCCATTGTTACTTTGCCAAGGGTCAGTTGAAGTCTGTATGGGTCAGTTTATGGATGTCATCATTTGTTCTGTAGACTGTTGCCTATTTTTTCCCCAATACTCAACAGCTTTGAATACTGTAGTTTTGATGCATTTTCATGGCTGCATTCTTCCTCCCTCCCTTCCTTCCTTCCTTTTTCAAGGTTTTAAGAGACCCTTATTATGCCATGTGTTGTCTCTTAATATATTCATGTTATTTATAGTAAGAGTATCATTTAAAAATGATAAATGAAGAAATTGAGACTCAGTTTCACAAACTGCTGTCACTAAAAGAAGCAGATTTTCTATTCTTTTGTAGTGTGTTGTTTTCATGTGAGAAAATTAGATCCCCCCCTTTGATATCATTGTTAATGAGATTTGAAGATTAGAACATGGAAAATTCCCTAAATTCCGATATGTAAAATTAGTAACAAAAGTTCTCAGTTAATGTTAGCTGTTATGTATACTCCCTATTTTTAATTTTCCTTTTGTAAGTGTAAGGACCCAGGAAGAGGACCCCATCTCAAGTCCCAATTAGCGCGCACCCAAGGAGACACGAGAGACTGACTTGATGCAATGGCAAAAGGCAGTTTACTAACAAGGGCCCTTGGATCGAAACTCATCCCATGCAGGGGAGAGAATTTCGATGAAGACCCCAGGAAGTTTAGAACTTTTATAGGGGGAGGCACAAGGGGGAAGGGAAAAGTGGGAAATTCTGGCGCGGTTACATATGATTGGATATTTCAAACATCAGCACTTTGCGTAAGCAATCATTTTGACAGGCTGGATGGCCCACTATTTTTGACCATGAAGCCTCAGACCTTCTAGGATAAACACCAGGTGGCCCATTACTCACTTGGGCATGTTTAGACTGGTCAAGATATGTCTTTGGTTGTTT